GTTCGATCGCCAAGAGATCGGCAGCGGAAACAGCGATTGTCTTTTCATCCTTTTGTGCTGCCCGGAGTACAGCCCCCTGCTGGCTAAAAACTTCGTCCGGTTTTCGATCTGGGAGAAGGCGACGTGGATGCTCCCTTACTGTTGGATTACGTTCTAGTTCGGAGGCGTTACACGTGTGTGCTACTGATCAAGATGATGTGTGGTGTCGACTGAGGAAAGGACTACTGTCTTGTCATCATCAGCATGTATCTTCAACTGCAAATCCGCAGGCGATCATAATGCATGTAAACAACAGCTAACTACTGTATTACTGGATGCGGCTAATGTCGAACGAATTCCAGCACCTACATGAATTTCAACGTAAACGCTTTGGGGCTATTGCCACTATTTTTATCGAACGGAGACCTGCGGGATGCCATCCAGACCACAGCGATTGAACCGGACTTCGATTGCACCGGAGTTGGTCCAATGAACATGAAGAAGAAATCCGAACTAAACTCTTCTTAAATCACTAGCTGTACATGATCTACCCTGCCAAAAGCAGCGGTGTCAGCACAACCGTATATTTCGAACGTGCGAGACGGGATACTGGCTTGGGTGAAGGATAATGGGTCAGTCACGGAAGCATTCGCGGTGACATATGGGGCGAGGCAGGGCTATGTACTCGCTTCCCACACCAGTCGGTCTAGTGTCCTGCGCTAGGCTAATGGACGCTTATCTTGAAGAACGGCCTGAGAGCGGCATCGACAGCCAAACAGGTGGATAGTTGCTCAGCCTACGCGGTACGAAGACACCTTGGTAAGTATCCACCTCCATGTCCACGATCCCTTGTCCACTGACGACCGCGTTTAAAACATCGTGAAGTAGAGAGCTCATGCAAAGGGATCTGATCCTCTGTCAACAGCTGCTCAAACTTCGGACTAGCCGTCGGCACAGAAATGACAGTGGTCATGCGCCAAATGCTGACTATACCGAACGCGGTATCAGTGCCAGGGGGACTTACATCACACTAGTTGACAAACTGGCGTACTTGAGAAGTCCGATTTCAAGAAACACCGAGGTCGATTACAAAATAATCGTTTGGAGCTCCAAAGCCAGTCAGGGCTTTGGGCAGCTAAAGCACTCCCTAAGAACCCGTAACGGAAATAAAGGACAGCTGTTCTGACGACTCTCTTCTACATGTGGAAACGTGAACTGCGCAAGGAAATCAAGCGAGAATACTCGACCACTTCTGCCTCAGCTGTCTCCGGTGGACACTAGGAAAAGACCCCAGGCACTAAGAACTTGGGAGGAACGGACATCCTTGGTATTCATGCCACGCTGAGACAGGCGCAACTGCAATGCTGCAGCCACATAGAGAGGTTGGATGGCGAGCGGCTGCCCATGCGACTATTATAAGGCGAGGTCGCTGCGGGAATTGACGGACAAAGGAGACAACAACGTGGCCACAAGGATGCCCTCGCGACCAATTCCGAAGCGACGGTCGTGGCGCGCTGCAATAGCAACTCTAAAAGTGGTAGGGGACGCTCACCGAGCGTTCTTACAGGACTCACTCGTTCCGTTGCGCCTTATAGGCTCACTGTCGAGCTCAACCAACAGTCGCACAGCGGCGCATGATATAGACAGAAGGTCATTACTGTGAGAGAGAGAGAGAGAGAGAGAGAGAGCCCATAAGGCACAACGGAACGAGTGAGTTCCGTAAGAAAGATCGGTGAGCGTCCCCTAGCATTGTATATTCCCGATCGAACCCGACAGGGCAACGGGCTCGTGGTCCAGTGGTTAGAAGCGTGGACTTCTAACTAACAGGTCGCGAGTTCGAGCCTCGGGTGTTACACACTTCGGGGATGCGTATGACTGGCTGACGACGGCTAATAAGCCAGAAATGGCCATCTCAGTCTCTCTTGCCTTTGTTGGTAATGAAACTCTAAAAGTGGCTCCTGAAGCCAACCGACTAACCTTTGAAAGGGTAAAATGATGCTCGAGAGATTGGCATGTCGCCGGGAAACGACGCAATTATTAAACACCGGCCATCGTGACCATACTGTCAAGAGATATTTCAGACACGAATGGGAACGGTCGGACCATGTCTGCTATCACATACCCCTCCAAAGGTACCACCAACACCACCACCACCGCCGCCGCCGCCGCCGCCGCCGCCACCACCACCACTACTGTCACCACTACTACTACTACTGGTACTGCTGCTAATACTATTGTCTCCAACATCGGTATTAATGGCACACGAGGCAAGACAGTCCAGACCTGTCTCTGCTTTAACAGCGTCAGCTACACCGTCGAGGACGACGGTGTCAACCCTGTGCCTCAAAGCATGGTAGGTGCAGGACGGTGATTTGTGCGTGGACTAGTCTATAGCGGTAGCAGACCTACATAGCATCCGCCTCACTCTCTCCTCCCTCAACCTCTTGAGTCAAGACTAGATCAGGACAGCCAGAGAATGAGTCGAGGGGAGCGGCCGGCAAAGCTAAATAGCCCGTCCGTCTACGTGTGTCGCACACACGCCTGCTTCACGCACGATGGATCAGGTTTACTCAGAAGCAAGGGAGCGGCTCAGATCCTACCAGATTGTGAATGCCAGATAGGCTACATTAAGGAGCCATCGTAGCCTGAATCCCTGCCCTAAGAGGACCGAATTATCCTCTTGATAGCCCTCCAGGCCACGACTTTCAGCACGTCGTGGTAGATGCAAAGTCTGTCTGCGTATTCATAGTGGGAAATGCGCTGAAGTGCCATGAGGGCGGAGTCCCTCGAGTCGACTTCACTCCAACTTCCCGCACCTAGGCACAAGTGGACGTCACTGATCGCAACGGTCGAACAGTCATCATGTCCCTCCTGCGCAGTCGCCTGAATGTCTCTAGTTATTTCAGCCAACAGTAGGCTCAGGCGCCAAGCTTGACGGTTTCGTAGAGCAACGGTGAATCTTAGAAGCGCGCATAAACTTAGGTGCCACTGCCAGTAAAATGGTCGATGCATTAATCGGCACACCTTGATACTGGCTTCAGGCAAGTGCGGCCAAATTTAGCCTTCGGGTGGGTTCAGAACATGGGTGAACTACTCGAGCCAGCAGCAAACAAGTGCTTAGTATTTCGCTGTGTTTCTCGCAAAACTTCGATTGCCGATGGAGACGTGGTCAATTCCGTAATTGCAAGTAGACGACGAACGGCTTCTAAGCGCACATACTACATACCATATCTGCAGCGGAATATTGTTTCAACTAAAGTCTCCGTCAGCGTTATTCTTGGCAAACTCCCACACAGCCTTAGACCGTTGTAATGAGTTTTAAAAGAACTGCAAGCATGGAAGGCGACAATACAGATAGGATAATTCTTTTCGGCACCTCCAGAAATACGACAGCAGTTTAGTGGGGGCTTGCGCATGTGAAAGCAGACAGTAGGTCACAGGATCCAAGAATTCAGACGGTGAATAAAATTCATCCAGAGGAGCGCAGCATGCAGTCTTCCCTTCTGCGAAGCGCGGAGAGCTATAACTGGGATAAGTTTAAAGGAGCCCTACTGAGAATTGGTTTTTACGCGCACTTATTTAGAAACGTTGATTCTTGCTTAAAGAAAGTTAGACGATAGGGAGATTCTGTTTAGCGTTACATCCCACAAGTGACGGAGCTGAAAATGACCTGTTGAAGACTGAAATAATACCGTCTCCTCTGAGTAGGCAGGCTTGCAGCGAGGACTTCATCGGAGTCGTACGGACCACCGAAATCATCTGAAGAATTCAGAAGATCGTCTGGTAGATATATCTGCTTTCAGTATACTTCCAGTCTGCCAATATGACATAGGCCGCCTACACTTCACTCCACCACCTACTCCGCTTTGAGCACCCCGGACTACTGAAATGAACTGGTGCGGATTGGCCGTTAACGTGAGTACGCTTCTGAACTGACCATCTGAAGTCGCATTGACTGAATCAAGAATGCACGGTTATGGGCATTCTTTCATCCAGTTTGTGGTCTCCCAAGCAACGCGTCTGTTCAGAGCACATCCTCGAATAGTGGTCGATCTTTTTACATTTTGTTACCTACTCCAGTGATACCTGTTGTAAATGCCATTTTTAGTGACGAACTCACACAGGATTCGGAGGACCGGCCGGTAGGCATGGCATGTTTCCAATGGATTTTGACCCGATGGATACGGTGTCTACATCGCATTCAAGTACCTACCGCATGACTGCACAGACCTGGTGAGTACCGACTGAAAACATGCGCAAGTTCGCGAACTAAGCAACTGGTATCCCCTGAATTCAATGCGAAAAGTAAAGATGCAGAAGTACATTAGTTGCCAGTTTGTAGAATGTCATGGGGTACGCCGGTAACGAACACAATCCCGAGACACCGGTTGACAAGTTTACACATTAATAACTACACGAGTGAGGTTTGTGACAGATTTATTTGTTCGACGATAGAGTCCGACCTGCTTACATCTGCATGAAAGATCCCGGACGGGAACCAAAGAAAGCTAATGCAGAGAGATCTGAGAATTCCAGACTCAGTAATCCGAACATAGTACAGGCCATTTGACCAAATTGGTAACAACGCGTGTTACGCAGAAAACACACCACCAGACTGCACAGCCAAAAAGCAAAGGAAAAGGTAAAATAAATAGATAATAAAGCACAGGTCAATTTCACGCAGTAGAAGACGGCCAAAAATTAACCCAAGTCGTGAATAAAACCCGCCATGCGGTGTAAAAAGGAGGGAGGGTTTCAAGTCTTCTGAGGGGCGAGGTAAGTGTTTAAACATTGTCCTGACCACTTTCAAAAATACTTGTGAGAAGAAGGCTTGAAATAACGGAAAAACAGCGCCAAAGAAATTGTTCTTTATTCGAAAAAATCCAAAATAGTAACAAGGGCACGGCACAAAACACTGCCAAGAAATAAAAATTAAAAATAAAAAGTAACTATAAATACTCAACTACTCGTCATTGTCGTCCTCTTCAGTCGCAGGTTCTGGTGCAGCAACAACCTCGTCCTCGGGCTGCCGGACGTGAATAGCACTCCTGGCCTGTCCTATCAAGCCTGATGTGGCATCCAGCAAGTTCACTGGCGACCGACCGTCTGTAATAAGGGTGCTCTTTAGGTTCAGGGCACGCAACATGCGCACATCGCGCTCCGGTCCGGCGCAGGCAATATGACGAAGGTTCTCAGCACCCAAGGCCTCGACACGCTTGAGGAAGTAAGCTGTCTCGATCTCTACATCTTGTTTTTTGCGCTCGAGGTTCAGTTGGTTCTTCTTTTGTATATAATCCAACTCCGCCTCACGGGCCAACTTCAAACGTTCCAGCTCCGCGTCCTAAAGAGGAAACCAGACATACACGGCATGAGTGGGGTAGAAAGTGATTAGGTGACTAGGGGTGTGTGAGAGAAAATGGACAGACTCAACTTACTGCTTTAATCTTCTCAGCTTCAGCCTCCAGCTTGGCTTTCTCGACTTCGGCCTGACTGCTGATGAGAGCAGCCTCCACGCGACTCTGAGCTTCTGCCTTGGCCTGACCGGTGCTCTCCAGGGCAGCCAATTGGACTTGAAGCTCCAGCAGTCCACGTCGAGCCTCCTCAGCCTTTGCCTCGTCCTCAATTCGCTGGCGTTCCAGCTTGCCGCGGGCTTCCTGGTCCAATCGCTCAGCCTCCTGTCTGAACAGCAAGCGGGACCGAAAGATCAACGAACAGGTCGGCCCGAAAGTAACAAAAGACTAATCACGGGTGTATGGGGGAACAAAAAAATCAACGACTGTAAAACCGCACTGTCTGGAACCAAAATAGTTAGGATGGTACAGACAAACAGCAGAAAAACTGATGCGCAACAATTTACCTGGCGGCGGCCTCCTGAGAATTACTCGTGATCTCAATTGCCAACTGAACGGACTTCTGCAGAGCATCCCGTGTGCGCTGATCTACCGGCTCAACGGCCTGCACGTCCACACTAGTCACCACGAGGTTATTCTGTGGAAATACAAGCCTGTCTCCAATCTTCCCCTCGGCATCGATGCCAAAAACAGACTGTCTGATCAGAGAGGCCGAGTTCTAAAGGCCAAAGTAAATTGACGTCAGTCGTTATCAACATCCCCGAGTCATCGCGGTTGCCAGACATATCTAAAGAGGGAGTAGATCAAACGCACCTTGTGAAACCTATCAAAATTGACTGAGGCCACAATGCCACGCACGCGAGCTGCAATGGCCTTGCAGAAATCGCCTACAAAATCGGGTTGAGAAAACAGTTTGGTTGCATCCTCCTGCGTCGGGTTAGCCGGGATTTCAAACTGCCAGTTGTAGGAGAGTTGGATCGAGAGACGTGCGTGGTCAGCGGTCTCCACAACCAGAACGTCAGTGCAGAAATCGGGACCCAGCAACAGACAGATGGTCTTAATCATGTTGGTGCGTTTCGGCTTGCCGCCGCTGAGGCTCAGGAGGGTGAACTCTTCGTCTGGTCCAAGCATGACACGCTCGGGGCCAAAGACGACACGCGACTTCTTGCCCTTGTAGTCGTAGATCTGGACGGCGGCATTGTGCGGCACGCGATAGGACACAACCTGTACGTAAGAGGGCAAAGTGCTTATACGTGAGGGCATGTCTAGTTTCATTCATGAGATAATGAGAAACGCCGTATGTACTCTCTCAATTCGTAACCTGGCAGCACACAGACGGCAGCCTACGACGTTTTGGAACTGGAGTTAATAAACTTATCAGAAACATTGGATTAAATTTGATATATAAACAAGGCAAACAGAAAGGATGCTGGTCAAAACATGGTTAATTACCTGGAGTCAAAGTAGTGTGTTAAAAAGCTGTCGGGACCAGTGCTACCAAGTTTGTTGAGGCATAATTCCTGCTGGTTTTGGTCAGCAGAGGTTGATTGAATAGTTTCTCTTCTTGGCGTTAAGGCAATAAAAGATCTAAAAATATTTCCTGACTTGGCACCCACCCGTCCTATCCGCAGCCTAAATAACTTCCTATATCGGCGCACGGTTGAGTCGACAAGCAGACAAGTATTTATGCAAAGTGGGGACACAAAACGGCATAAATTCCCTTAAGACTCATGGGATTGTGCACATAACATTTGGTTTTGAGGTCAAGTAACCACCTATCGGATACGTTGACAGCTCTACAAATGGATGCTCGCTCTACAAGACGTTAACTAAATCATCAGTACATAGACGTGGCCTGCATATTAACATAAATGACTAAAAGATCAACCGTCGCGAGCCTCCAACGGAGTGAGGGCCTCATTAGTGACCTGCATGTGCATTACTCTATAGTGAGGCAGGTATGCACAACATCTACCGCATATTTTTCACCAGGCAAAACGATGTCAACTCGGCCAGACGTGGTCTCTTAATAAAATGGCAGTCAGTCCACGTGTACCACACATGATGCGACCCCATGATCGTGAATCAGGCTTTTATAGAGGCGACGCGAATCTCTGATCACCTGGACTGCCACGAAGGCCACGTCGAGAAGGAGCCAGTGGGGTGGACTAACCGTCTTTCAACCAGTCATTTCAAACAGCATTTACCACGAAGACTTAGTTCACTTGTACGAATAAACTATTAGCACACACACACGCACATACCCTTGTAGGGTCCCATGCTTCCTCTCCATTTTCGCCTCTTTTCCGGTATTCGGCCCTCTCACCCTGAGGATCTTTGTTGGCTCTGAGTATTTGCTCTACTGCAGGAGAAAGCTTCTTTGGCCAAAGTTCCTCGTCCTGATTCAGCATGTAGGTAGAGCCAATGACAGCCCGCACTTGACCAGAACGCTTCTCACGCACATAGATGCCCTCATTCTCGTCCAGAGGTATGGCCTGCCGGACCGTAACCACCTCCACTTCGATCGGCGGTACATACTCCAGAGGTCCTGTAAGCATCCACTCCTCACCCGCAGTTCGTGCCTTTTTAAAGGGAAAAAGATCGATAAAAGGATTATATATTTGGGAATTAAGTCCTTTATTATAAGTGAACAAAGAGTAGTCCGGACGACGCGTCCATTTCTCAGAGTTATTGCCGCCTAACTGCCTGAAAGCGTCCACACCGTAACAGCATGATATAAAGCCACACGAAAGTGTTGCTAGCACAAATACTAGTATAAGCTAAAAAAACCAAAGATTAAAAAACTCGAAAAGTAAGGTTTAAGACCTACAGTATTTCCGTCTTGGAATGACTCCATGGCACGAAGAATGATGCCCTCGTTTTGGCCCAGAACATACACGTTTTTTATTCCGTCATCCAACGTCTCTCCCGGCATCAAGAAGAAGGATTTCTCGCCCCGAACGAGCATTCTTTTGCCGATTCTTGGGACACCTTTGTCGTCAACCGGATCGCAAATGACGCAGTAATTGTTCGAGGCAAGAACAATGGGTGACACAACTCGAACCACCTCTTCATTCACGCTGGGGATATGGCTTTCGGCGTCCAAGTGGGTGATTAACCACTCTTCTCCATGCCTTCTGCGCTTGCCAAAATCGTCGACATGAGTTCGTTTCGCTCTGACGTGAAGAGCATGCTTAAATAAGGAAATGAATAAACTATCATAAATCCGTCAAAGGTCAGGCAGGCAAGCCGACAACAAGGGCAAATATCGGACATTGGCTATCGAGAACAGCTTAGAAAACAAAGGCGAACTCACTTTCTCATCCAAATGATACGCCTCGAGAGTTTTGACCCGCTCTTCATAGGCACCTATCATATATGCACCAACGGACTTCACTAACCACTCCTCACCGTATACGCGCTTCTGGCCGTCTTTGCCGGTAAAATCCATCAAAGCACGCAATAGAAGAGCAGTATTCGGACTGATCATCTCCGCCGTTCGTGTGGAAAGCACCTGGACTTCCTTGCGAGGCTTGTAAATGCCTGGGGAGAGATCGCAATCAGCAGACTTTTCGTATGGAGGAAACTCGTTTTCAGTGAATGAAAATAATATGATTTGAATATTTTATCGCCTCCATAGTTTACCAGTCTGATGTAGAAACCAGTCGTGAGTAGAAATGATTGTAATAACAAGCGATATGCAATCAGAAAACGAAACATATACAATCAGAGTTGATAGAAAAACGAAAGTTGCCATGGAAATCTGAAACGACAGTCAAACCACTAAGAAGCTTCCGGAATACCTTAGTTTCCCTCATCAAACTTAAGGGGTTGAAATACTGTTATTAGAAATTAAAAATAATTTATTTCGAGAATGCTGGTACTTTATGTTAGATCCTAGAGCCAGAATTTCAGAGCAATTAGATAAACACAAAGCCCGTAAACATCTAACGGTCGGAATAAATGGAGAATCGTTATTGAAAACGTAAGAAACTCCCGCCTGTTGAAGAGGAAGACCCCAGCTTTCCATTCCAATGCATATATAATAAAACGACGTTGAAGATAATTTTGATTTTTTTGTGAAAGGGTTGAGGTATAAATGTCTTCTCAGTCAATACTTACGGTCCGAGTAGTAGAATCCTCAAATACGATATTGTATAATATAATACTGACCTAAGATATATCTTGTGATGGTTTACACTCATGCCGGTCCTCGGCGAGCAGACACGGAACAGGGCGGAAAACTTGATAAGTCTTGCGCACGCACACTTGCTACAGCAATCATGTATACGATCGTATACATGATCGTAAGACACCATCATAAACAATCAGCTCATGAGCTGATTGTTTCTTCTAAATTGATGAAACGCCTGTAACCGTAACGTACTGGCGGATTCGCATTCCTGAGAAGGACATCTTTTAAAGACCTATCTTTACAAGAGCTACCTCCAAATTGTGGTGTTCTTTATGTGCAAAATCACATACCAGGACCTTCGAAAAGCCACAGTTCACCAGCCACGCGGTCAACACCGTCCTCCGATTTAAAGTCTACTAATGCAGACAGCAGAAGGGCCTTGTTTTGGGAAAGAACCGTAAGAGGCGTAACTTCCTTCAGGAGCTCTTCACCAGGATACAACGGAAAGGGGGACTGGGCAAAACGGTACTCCTCGTCACCATAGGCCAACGAGGCCTGGCCATATTCATCCATTATGACGTTCCCATTCTCGTCTTTTTTCACGGGGTTCGATATTATGCAGTATTCCTTCGGTGTTATGGTAATCATCCGTTGGGGCATTTTGACAATTCTAGACCGGTATAAGCAAAGAGTTAACTTACTTTTCATGGTCCTTCCTAAAGAAGGTGACTGGACCAGAAACTAGTCTCGTGACATTCGTGTTTTTATCCAAAACATGGATGAAGTGGTATGGTGGAATAGCAACACTTATTGAGTCTGGCGGAGACATCGTCAGCTTCGGTGTGGAGGTCGAGTATTGAACAGCTGCCTCAAGGTCTAAAACTCATTGGTGAGTCAGTAAAACAACATCCCGCAAGACAGTCGCTTAGGCTTGAGTCCAGGCAGCAGTTTGAGTGAGAAGTTCGCAAGATGCCGATTGCTTTATAACGTATCTTTCGACCATGCTTTTACTCGCCAATACGGAGTAATTTAGTGTTTCGACAACAATGAAAATCTCGTCGTTAGTTATATTTAAGTGTTCCGTTAAAGCGGCCACTTTTACCAAAGCATTACCCATTTTATTTTCGGTTGGTTATCAAATAAAGTGGTCGAGCTGCTGCTGTGATTAACCTCTTTTCTATACAAATATGGTTTCTCTAGATTTTGTCAATTTAATTCAACCTTAACACAAATGTGCGCGTCTTGATTTCGTACAACATTTGGTGGGTATACCTGCAAAGCAGTAAATTAAAATGTATTGTTTGTGTTTTCCGATATGTGGAACAAAGCATGTTTTCGAAAGACACTGGTGTCCTTTTGAAGTATCATTTTCTTCATAGAATATGCACCAATATCACGAAATAGGGAAATGTTATTAGGAAAAGTCTGAAAATTGGATGCTGGACGGTGCTTTGAAAACATTCCAGACTTTATTAAATCTTGTCTCAATGGTACATTTAACAGCGCAGTCCAGTCTGGCAAGTCGTTGCGAGTCCAAATTATCAGAGAGCCCTTCAAGATAATGTACACCGACTGCAAGCATGGTCGGAGAAATGTCTTCTGGGTCTCAATGGGAAGAAGTGGGCCGCCCTTTATATGCAACCAACCAACTGTCATTCAACTGGGGGCCTGAAGACACGTTACCTGAAGGAAATTAGACTTCCCGCAGAATCTCCACAGAAGGACCTCGGCGTGTGGATACAGAGCGACATGAAACCAGCACTGCAAGGAAAAAAGGCTGTAAAAAACGCCATGGGAGTGCTCCATGCAATTAAAAAGGCGTTCGTAACCTTCGAAGAAGACCTTTTTAGAAGATTTTGTGGCACCTTTAATCGGCCTTATTTGAAATATGACATAAAAGAGTGACGGACATGGCTAATAATGGACGAAGCATGCCTCGAAAGAATACAGCGTCGTGCAACGAAGCTGGTGAACAGTTTAAGAAACGAATCCTACATAGAAAGACTGTATTGCCTTAATTTATTCTCTGTGTTAGAGGCAGCAATGAGATGATCTTATTCTGGTTTATAAGGATATACACGGCCTTGAGCATGGACTACGCTTTGAGGACATGTTTCAAGAGCGCCTTTCGCACAGTCCTCGCGCGGACAAAAATGTTCAGGCTGAATCTTCGTTCCGAATTTTCACGCAAAGGGTAGTGGTCAAATGGAACGACCAGCCTCAGTCAACCGCGGGGCCGACGTCCCTGTAACCCTTCAAGAAACGCTTGGATGATTATTTGTGTCCTCTGTTTCCCTTCGACAGTCTGAGCCTGAGCTAAGTATTCCGCGACCTCCTGCAATTATTTCGCTGAGACAATGTTGCTCAAGTGAATTGATTATCATTTAGGAGATGGATATATTCATTGTTCGTGCACACTTCCAGCTAATGTGCTGACATTTAATCATTAGGACTTTCAAAGGCATTGCCTATTATCCTTTCCAAACAAACTGAAACTGAAATAAATATAGCAGCAACAGTCCCTTTTGTAATCTACGAAACCACAAAGGATTAAGGCTCGCAGGTCAGGAACTTTCTTGTTAAGTTAAATTCCAGAGTTCCGGCGTTAAAACCCTCCTATTAAAAATATTTTAATCGGATTATTTTGTCTTCCCCTCAGCAGCACGCATGAGGCTAAATAAAAACGAACAGTATTCCAGGTCAGGTCTAACGCACATGTCATAAAAGCACATTATAATATCGTTGGTTTTAAAGTTCTGAAGGATAAGCTTAGTCATTCTACGTGCTTCGAATACTATCAGGGCGCAGTGATCCGAAGGATTGAGACTCTTGGAGTATAATACACCCAGATTCTTAATAACCCCAGGCACATTTGTGTCGTAACCGTCAATACTTAGTTGAGGTTGGCGGTCGTAGCCAACCACCATGACTGAATTCTCATGCAAAGAAAGAAAAAAAGTGCCATGCAAGGTACCACTGAGAAAAGGCCTGTAGGTCACTTTTAAGGAGCTCATGCACGATGTTGTGATCTGCCAGATCTCTAATTTTAAAATTAATGTAGAAGTTTTTTTTTCTTTCTACGATAGGACCCCCACGGATGTTGAATAAAAATTATTATTACACGTATATGCAAATTTCAGATCATCGGCTAACTTGAAGTGCTTTCCATTTTGAAATAAACCTGTTTTATCGTTAGCAAAAAGGCAAAATAATAGCGGCTCGATTGCAAAACCCTGAATGACTCCCCTCCTCACACATGTGAGGTTTGAGATAGCATTAGAAGTCTTAGCTCGTTGTGTACGAGCATATATGTAAGAGGATATAAGATTCAAAAGTTTACCACACATTCCGATGGCGGACAGTTTCAAGAGAAGAAGAGCATAGTCAACAATGGTATTTGAACTAGACTGTGTAAAGTGAAAAACCATGGTCCGTAGATTGGAGAACATGATCGATGAAGCAGAGCTGACAGGTGTCACAATACTGAGCTTTAAGCAGTCCATGCTGAGCAGCGTCCAGTAGGTTATTATCTGTTAAATGACACATCATCTTATCTTTGATCAGCGCCTCTAAGATTTTTAAAACGACATCAAGGATGTTTATGGGCCGAAAGTGATCAAATTACGTAGGCTGGCCATGCGTGGGAGTGGGCGCGATGCGCTCCAATCGGCACAGCGATGGGAAACCTTCGCCCTTCGGGAGGCCTCCACGTATTCGCAGATCGGGTTTCTTCACAGGTGTCTCGACAATGATGTGTTGCCGAAATGTGTTTCAAACAAGCCTCCGGTTAACACAAATTTGGCGAGACGAGCAGTATTTCAACATGACAGAAGGATGATCCGAGTGCTCCTCCAAGATTGCCACGCGACACTTCGCAAGAACCGTCAAAGGATTGACCAAGAAAAGACCAGATGCTGTGAGTTCATGGGTGAGATCGGCATAAATCTGCTCCTGCTGAGGATAGCTGAACAAGCCCGCGAACAGACAATGATAAGCGACGCCACACTGGAGAACAAATTCCAAAAGCTGCCCAATCCAACGTCGCCCAGAAACGACAAACTGGCGCGCAACCTGTGGTCAAAGGAGCTGAAGAAGGATCAGATTCAGGTTTTAAGGCACGAAACTTCATTTAACACGACTGACGCCAAACCTGTTAACATGATTGCAGCAGTGGAATCAATCCTTTCTCAGACGGAGGCAACGGAGGAGACAAAGAGCCTCATCCGACACCAAGTGTGGTCTCTCCTAATGGTCCACAGGCCGCGAGAAGTGCTTTCCAAGGTCGAACGTGATGCGCTTAGAGAACTCAAGACCGACAAAGACTTGGTCATCGTGCCAGAGGACAAGGGGCGCTGCACGGTTGTACTGGAAAGGACAGACATCCTTCAAAAAGCGAACAGCTTACTGGAGAACCGACATTTCTATGCCCCATGTGCAATGAACCCTGTCAAAGCGCTGACACGCGAAATCAATGCTACGTTGTTTACTTGGAGAACTCGGGTGCAATAACACCGACCAACAGACGCATGGCGAGACCCCAAGATACGGCTTTGGCCCGATTCTATGGCCTCCCTAAGGTGCGCAAAGACGGCGCTCCTCTCCGACCCGTCGTGTCGCTCAAAGGTACTCCAACGTACGGACTGGCTAAGTGGCTGTTCCGGCGTCTCAAGTTCCTGACCGCTGAGTCAGACACCACGGTCTTTTCGTCAGCACAATTCCTGGAGAAACTCAAAGGGGTAAGCATTTATCCAAATGAGGTCATGGCATCTTTTGATGTTACATCCTTTTTTACTTCTATTCCCCAGGACCTGGCGATCGAGACAATCGAGCTGCTTCTACAAAGCAAAAACGATAAAACGCAGAATCGTCTTGGACGCGCCCAAGTCCTTCAGCTCTTGAAGTTCTGTCTCAAGACTTACTTCACTTTCGACGGGACAATCTAAGAACAAGTGAAGGGCACACCAATGGGTTCGCCGATTTCGGGGTTCATCGCCGAGGCGGTCCTGCAACGGTTGGAGTCGCTGGTCTTCCAAAACCACAGACCGAAGTTCTGGGCCCGGTATGTGGATGATACCTTCGTAGTTATCGATCGGGATCAACTGCTGACATTCAAGGAACGTCCGAATTCGGTCTTACGATGGAGGAAGAAGAGAACAACCAGCTGGCCTTCCTGGATGTCCTCGTATGCCGCAAGGATTGTGGTGGACTAAAGACCAAAGTGTTCAGTAAAGCGACAAATACGATGCAAGTACTGAACTTCAACAGCGACCACCCAATCAGTCACAAACGCAGTTGTGTAAAGACGCTCTGTCGGCGTGTCGAAACGCACTACAGTGAGCCGGAAGACAAGATTGCTGAACTACAATACCTCCGACGGGTCTTCAAAGCCAATGGCTACCCGCGCAACTTCGTCGACCGGTGCATACGCAAAAGGGACGAAAGGCCTAACCGCACGGACACCAAATCTTGGCGGGCACTTCCGTATGTCAAGAACGTTTCGGAAGCTGTCGGCCGCCTTCTCGCACCAATTTGGGTTAGAGTGGCACACAGACCGGAGGCAACCATCAGGCGTCTGATCATGAAACCGAAGGACCCACTGCCACGGCTAAAAATGTCTGGAGTCTTTTATCGGATCTGGTGCAGTTGCGGACAAAGCAACTATGTCGGAGAAACCGGAAGACAGCTCCGAACGAGAATGACCGAACACGCGGCAGCGGTGCGCAGAAATGACGCCAGCTCTCAAGTTGCGGATCATTCGACGAGATCCGGCCACACATTCAAATTCGATGAGGCCGAAATTCTCGCAAGAGGTAACAACCGCGTGAGCCGGGAGCTACTGAAATCATGGTTTACTGGACCCCAGTCCATCAACAAATGCAAAGATCTTCCCACTCCATACTCCGTGCTACAACTTCGCCTAGGTGGTGTAACAAGCCACGCGGGGAGTGCAGAGGTGAACACTCTTCCCGACACCCGGGTCAGCGCGTCAGATGGTCGAGCAATCATCACACCAACGTCTAACGCATGTAATTAAATTGCAGCAATTAACGACGCGAACATCGGCCATTACGCCACGTGCAACGATCCCTGATGAATGGGAGAGAGCCGTAAATAATCATAGGTATGCGGTAGCATGGCTACTGCATCCTATAAATACTGCAGTCGCATGCACATGAATCAACCTTATCTGCTTATGTCTCTGATGAAGGATTCGAGCAGGAATTCGAAACGTCAGGCTAATAAAGCTCTTGTCCAGACGCTCGTGCCTTATTCTTCAAGACTGCGTCCCAGCACTCGTCTGTTCGCTTCTATTGAAAATGTGCGACTCATTTCACAAAGTAGGATAGGTATTAATCTAGACAGTGGGACTGCATATCTCGCAAAAGATGGATGGGAAAATCGCATTTGCATTTGAATAAGTCCTCTACAACAACATCTGCGGCATCTGCACATCACGGCATAGTCAATTCCGTAGGGAATTCGACTACTTTTAATGTTGAGCTCTTTAAACACACCATCACGCCTGGTATAAACACGCCACTATCGACTCCCCCAGCAACGCCTAGTAGGCCTAAGCGTGTGTCTAAGTTTAAGACAAATCCAATTACTGTATTAGCCACTCGGACACCCGAAAAATCCAGTACCAGTATAAAACCTTTCCTCCACAATCGGCTAACAGTGCCTCCAATACCCCGACTCAAAACGTAGCGTGCTTCCAACTGCCCCCAGCCCTCATTACGAGGGATTTAGGCCGAATATGCCGATTTTTCCGCCGTTTACTAAAACTCTTGCTCCAATGGAAACAAAGCGTCCCCCGTCCCCTAACTCATTTCCTCCACGGCCGTTTTACCAATTTATTCCTCATGATAATGTCCATACTGAGTCAGTTAACTCATCCGATCCTCCGTTTGTTCCGGCGGGAATACGCTACAGTATCTGTCCCGCGGATTTCCAGTTGAAAATTAGTTAGCTTACAATGGCTACCAGTTCACCTGCCCGTCATTTTCTCCCCCAAGTCCTACCCCTTTTTATCCACGCAGAAGTTTTCGATGCCACAAAATTTTTTGCAAAACCGGATGGTTGCATCTGGACCATTTGCTCCGTGGGCAGCCCAGAACTCGACGATGTAACCCACTTCCCTCAGAAACAAACAGCCTTTCCCTTCAAAAATTTTGTTTTAAATGCCAGGTAGTTGCTTAATAAGATGCCTTTGCTTCAGACTCAGGTGTTTGTCCATTGTCCAGATATTGTTTAAGTAACTGAGACGTGGGTATCAGCCTCAGTAGCTGACTCCGAACTCTCTCTTTTAGGCTATAATTGCACCCGAAATGATCGCCAATATAGCCGTGGTGAGAGCAGCTGCGTCTACGTTAAGCAAACACTTACATTTTTGCCGTTGGACCTCCCGCATTTTTCCGCAGTAGAAGTCAGCTGCTGGCTCCAGGTTGCACTAAAAATTAGTTCTCCTTACTCGTTGGCCGCGTCTATCGCCCTCCCAATGCCAACGACAATTTTGATCGTTTACACTCACAGGCTTTTTATGCTGCGGCCGACTTAAGCATTAAGTATAAAATGGTTGCGGGTGACTTTAATCTTCCCGAAGTCCGCTGGTCTCCGCCTTCAGGCCCGAGAAGGTTCTAAGACATTCTTGAGGCTGTAGATGTTGGGATGTGGAATCAGGTTGTCGATTTTCCCACCCGAGGCTCAAGCATACTTGACCTTATTTTCTGTAGAGGCTGCATGCACTCGTTAGTGCCATCCCTAGGTCCACTCGGGGCTCAGACCAAGACATATGTGTTTCAACGTTGGAATTCGAGGCTGACAAATCGTCGTCCCCAAAGTATAACTTTTTCCGCGATTTCCGACCAACTCGCTCAACCAAATTATTAAGACACCTGTATTCCTACGACTGGACTGATTTCTTCCTTAGTTCGGAGGTAAATGTTTGCACTGCAAATCTGTACGAAATTTTGGATCCGCTTATTTCTCGTTTTGTCCCCCGAAAGAAAATTATTAATGGTGGGGATGAGGTTTACCTACCCTTACCCTTTCATCGCAGATTGCGCAGGCTTGATCGTCGTTTCCAGCTTCAGAACGATGTTTCTGTTCTGCCCTTGATTTGTGATATACTTAAGAGGGCTAAGAGATTGTCTGAAGAAAAACAGCTGGCCGAAATATCCATTTTACCGAAAACCATTCGTTTAATTTCTCGAAACTTTTCTCTAGAAAAATACGAACTCACCGAAAGACGCAGCATCCCATCCTCCGAGACTTTCTCAGAAATCCTATAGTTGATGCCCAGTAAATCTCTGATAGCCTCAATGTTTTCCTGTCCGACATTATTCATTGAAGTCTCGACCATTCCGCTTCCGACCATCCAGCCATTGGCTGGGCAGTTCCAGAAACTATAACTTTCACTCTGTGAAATGTGACTAATGCGATTCGGAGTTTTCGTCAACCTTATAATCCAGGACCTGATGGTGTCCCAGTAAGCATTTTAAAAGCCCATGCAAATACGATTTTCCCGTCCCTCTTGCTCTTGAACCTGAAACCTCTCCTACCTTGCGGAATGAATCACACATTCTGCCCATTCCTAAGCACGGCAAATCTTCATCATTTGATTACTTTCGACCAATAAACACCTCCCCGCAGTTTCGAAGATCTTAGAGACATTGTTCAAAGAGAAGATGATGTGTCACTTAACAGTGAATAGCCTACTGAGAGCTGCTCAGCATGGATCATGTGACACCTGTCAACTCTCTTACTTTGACTATGTCCTCTTTCGGGATAGGTGACAAACTTCTGAATTTTATATCCTCTTACCTGGGCACTCGTACACAACGAGTTAAGATTTCCAATACTATCTCCAACTCCACACGTGTGAGGAGTGGATTCATTCGGGGTAGTGTACTCGGCCGCTTTTATTTTGCATTTTCGTTAATGATGTACCCGATTTATTTCAGAATGGTAAGCCCTTAATGCATGCCGATGATCTTAATGTTGCATATCGATATAAGCCGGCAGATCATGACATCGTGTATGAGCTCCTCGAGAGCGATCTACAGGCTTTCGCCCAGTGCTACCGCACATGGCGTCTTTCTCTTTCTTGGCATAAGTGCTCAGTCATGTTGGTTGGCGACGACCACTAACCTCAACTTAATATTGAAGGTCACTCCATAAATGTGTCCAACGTTACTAAGGATCTGGGCATATCATACTCCAAGAGTCCCAATCTCTCGGAGCACTGTGCCTTTATAGTCTCCAAAGCACACAGAACGACGGGTTTATCCTCCGAACCTTTAAAACTAGGGACATCAGAATGCGCCTTTTCAATATGTACGTTAAACCTGGTCTGGAATACTGTTCGTTTCTATTTAGACTCATGCGTGCTGCTGAGCGGAAGGAAGTAGAATCCGTTCAACACTTTTTCACCAAGAGAATTTTAGCCGCGGAACACCGACATTTGTCTTACCAAGAACGTTGCCGGCTTACGGGCCTTGATCCTTTATGGTTCCGTAGATTACAAAAGGGACTATTTTTGCTATTTAAACTCTTATATAGTCACACATTTAACCCACTCACCTCTTTAAGACATCATATCCACCCACGACGTAACAGTCACCGTGAGGTCTTTTTATTTCTGCCTCTGGCACGTACTGTTAAATATCGTCGGATCTATTCTGTAAATGCAATTGCTATTTGCAATAAACTACCAATGAGTGTGAAAACTCTGCAAAATTATCCTTAATTTAAGAGAACTGTTACTCGATTTTTGCATTCCGAAAAGCTTCCTCAAATTTTGGGTTCTGTATCCACTGATCGACTCTACTGTAGCGATGGCGTTTGTGGCCTCTGAACACTATGACCGGTCTCACCAGCTGTTCCTCAACGCCTCTACTTTGACTGTCCCCAACTTCATGAAAGGAATTGACGTTCGATGATCTCCGATACCGTGCAACCCCCTATCCCCCTTCTTTACCGTCGAAAATCTATCGCCAGCAGTTATTTTTTATTCTGAACCCTCCAAACCAATAAAAACCATCATCAACTATATTTTTATTCTTCAGGAGTTTTTTTTCACTGCTTGTTGGATTTGTGTTTAATCGCTTCCCTTGACAATGCCTGTAAACTGGCATTTAATAAATTAAATTAAATATTAGACTTCATAATTGGCAAATTGTTTATTCTTAAAATTCTCGAAAACTTCCTGTCCCACTCTGATTGACGAGTCTGAAAGCAATCGGCAATGAGCCAATCAGTTATAAAAAAACGCGTCCACAAAAGTTGCGCAATCGGGATTTGATCCCGTTGCCTGCGGATCCGGAGGCTAGGATGTTAAACACTACACTTCCGACGAACGGCCGGACGCTGGTCAGATTAGTTTGTTAACTGCAGAAGAGCAGCTGAGAACGGTCTTTAGTTCATAAGCACTCTCTTGCCATAAAATGCCGCTGGAGGCATTAGACTCCAGGGGGTTAAGCACAACATGCTCCACGAGACAAGAGACAAAATAAAATCCAATTCACTGTCAAGTGGCCTTGAAAACTGTATGACAGACGGGACGGATTTTGCGCTTGTCGGTCGCTGTGTCGGCTGTGAGTAACTTGGAAGGCGAGTCCAGACGCTAGAAGAGAAACAGGGCTTACTGACGGACATCACTATGGCTATTCAGGAGCACAGTCAGATAGAATTACCAAATAATCCGCCAGATTTCCGAATGATAAGTGACGAAATTCCTACTAATAAAGGCACCGGCGCGGAAAACTCAAAGTCAGTCAGGAAGAGGAAGCGTGTTATGTCGCCAGGGGACACTACAGACAAATTAATACCGGTGGATAATGTGTCGGTCGACGTTCATGCATTAAAAAGAAGTCAGGTTTCATAACTTACTATAGTAACTTAACCTGCCAAATCATCAAACACTAAAGTTGGGAAAGCCAGGGTGACCCTTAGAAGATCTGCTAGAAACAACAACGACTCGCCGTTATTCTTGGAAGGCAATGCTGTTACTCCACTTCTTCACAAGGCTAACTCATCTAGAAAGTGCCCTTACCAATCCGTTAATGGAAAAGGAAACGATAAGCCTTCGTGCAGTACATTGCAACAGGGTAATGATTATAAGAGCTCCACTGCCGGAGCAAGTACGTCACGTGAAAATCCATGCCCTAAACTCCCTACGCTTGCCGAAAATCAGTCAAATGTCGAAGTGCCAACAGCCGTCGGGAATACTACAGTAGCATGATATCGTCCTAGCGCGGACGGGACAGTAATGAGCTCTTCCATAAATCTTAAGCAAAATATTACATAAGGAGAGCCCCAGAGTCCACATCCTGCATTCCGAAGGAGCGAGTGACGCACGGCCTAGACCTTCTCCATTAGTAAGCCGGTGCCGTCCTGAAGGATGGAAAAATATTCACCGTTAAAAAAGTCTTCCAACTAGACAGAGTGGACCCAAATCGTGACCTAAAAACATCCCCAAGACCCGCTGGTTTTAAATTTGAAGATAAGTGGAGGATATTATTTTTAGTGGTTTTTCTGTGAGATCTAACGATTTTAGTACCCGTTTTTTGGTTGAATTTCCTTAAATACAGGCCTTTTCTCTAAGTACTGCCCGCTGCCATCTCCTTTCGAGTTTTGCTAGTCTACGCCCGCTGTTCACTAATCGCAATTTGCAATTCTCATTTTGTGCATCCGATTTCTCTCTAACTGTTGTAATTTATTTTTACATCGTTAGCCCCTAGCCGAAATTCAGTCAACATGTCTGCCATAAGTTTTCTTAATCACAAATTGCCTCAAGACAAGATGAGACCAAAAGTCACTGGTCGACGTAAGCTCTCGGCTCTTGTAAGTAAACATGGCCTAACTAAACGTAAGTCAGAAGCTTTACCTAAATCTATGTCAGATGATATTACTAGTCAGTCGTCACCCGTTGTAATTGGTCGGCAGCTTAATCTGTCTGCACCTGACAGGTGCAATGACTTTATGCTAAAGTTTGGCTCTTTGCTGACAATTCTTGTGCATTTATTCGACGGGAACATCTCCGATATTCCCTCTGAGGAATGTAGGCGTCTCGACTCACTTGTTCACCTGATCGCCAGTGAATCTAGTGATAGACAGAAGCGTTCTTACAACTTCCTGCTAAAAAATGTTCCTCGATCTGCTCGGCCAATTGATGTTGCGACCAGTTTCCTGTATTCATGTGGTTTCAACTATAAAATAGCTGATGCCAAACGCTTGTCCTCCCGTAGTACAAATACACCCATCTTAGTCAAATTGTTTTCATCAATCGAGGTTGACACAATCTTTACTCATCGAGAGCGTGTCACTGCGTACCTAGAGAAGGCAAAATTTTTCCTTTGTCATGATCTTACTCCTATGGAGCGTAGAATGGGGTCTCTATTCTCACGTAAACCTACTGCTTCTCAGTCTAATGCTCCCCAACTCGGTCATAATACAAGTGGCCGTAAGGATTCAGCTTCTCAGTCTAATGCTCCCCAACTCGGTCATAATACAAGTGGCCGTAAGGATTCAGCTTCTCCTACTCCTGCGACATCTGACTCCCTCCTTCCTCTTTCTCCGACATCTCCATCTCACTCGAACCACTTGACGCATTTGCCTGCCCCTAAACTTGCAGCAGCAGCAGCAGCAGCAGCCCCATTTGTCGTTTCGTATCCTCCGGATAGTCACGCCGAGACACATGAAAGTCCGTCTACATCAGCTAGACCGATAACTTCTATTGTCCAACTGGGTGCTGTAAGGTCTACAGCTCAGTCACCTGTGGCTTGGCGTCAGAACGGTGAGACTCGAAAATTGAATCAGACTCCGACCCAAAAGAAAGGTAGTACAGTTCCATTTGGAGGTACTACGCCTTCTCTTAGATCTAACAAGTCTGCTCAGCCCAGCACGTCTACAAATCCCGCAGCTCCAATTATATCCTCGAATAATTCTCAGTCCTGCGTACCGGTTACTTATCAAAGCCCTACTATATATCCAGCAACTAATTCATACATGAATTGCCCTAAATCATTTATGCCCCAACCTAGTTCAGGCTTCCCACCACTTAAGGCCAATTGCTCTCAGGTACGTCAACCTATCTCCTTTGACTTCCAATCTAGACCTGGTTTCCCACTATTTCATTCTTTTAGTGGCCTACCCTTACCCATTAGCCCCTACTTTCCTTCTAGCCTCCCTCCTCCGCCTGCTCCTCCTCCTCCTCCTCCTCCTCCTCCTCCCCTTCCTCCATTATTTAACTACCAACAAGTCTATCCATGTTCTAACTCCCCTAGCATTCCAATGTTTGAAAACTATATCCCCACCTCCTTTAGGTCTCATACTCAGCCTTCTCTTGCTGACTCCCCATACGTCAATAACTCAAAATTAACTGGTACTTATTCTCCAAGTTTCATTAATTCGCAGCTTACATATCCGCCTCCAATTTTTTTTAAATACCGTCGAAAGTAGCATTGCCGTTCGAAACACATTAGATATTATATTATTGAATGCCAGGTCTGTTATAAACAAGATGGCCCAAATCAGAGCCATTGCTCTGGAAATGACGCCTGATATTATATGTGTAACAGAATCTTGGACACATTCTCTAATTCCTGACTCTGCCCTTCTCATAGATGACTTCGATTTTTACCGCCAAGACCGCACGACTAGGCGTGGGGGTTGTTGTCTTCTTTATCTTAAATCCTACCTAAAGCACTCTCCCTATTACTTGGATGTTTCCTCATTCGCGGGAAACTTCTGCTTTGCATCTGTTATTCTCTCGCCACAAAGAAAGGCAATTATTGGCTGTATCTACAATCGCCCAAATTCTTTAGCCAGTGATGATTCACAACTCTGTGAAATCTTTAAATTAATTTCGGAAGCTGCTTTTGATGTTAAAATAATCACTGGGGATTTTAACCTTCCTGAAATTGACTGGGTTTCCAATAGCTGCCCACCCAGATTCCAGTCCTTTCAGGATATTATCAATTTTTCTAATTGGTCCCAACTGGTGAGCTCTCCAACAAGAGATAATCACATTTTAGATCTAATCTTTACCAATGACATTGCTCCTCTTTCTGTTGCTTTAAAAAAGGACCTCTTTGACAGTGACCACGTATTAATTCATTGTTGCCTACCGCTTGCCTTTTCAAAAAAGACAAGCGCTGTTCAGACTTTCATGAACTACGACTGCGTAGATAGCGACTTAATAAATAACTATATGAGATCCTTGGATTGGTGTGGCTTCCTCACTTGTAGCGATGTAACCATTCTTCGTGATGTCATGTCCAATGTTTCCAAGGACATTCTAGAGTTTGTGCCGCGTAGATATCTCAAGCCTAATTCTTCAGATTCTCTTGTTCCTCATTTTCTTCAGAACAGACTAAAAAAGTTGAGGCGACAACTGCGTGACCCATCCACTAGTTCCTTATCTGTTCATCTTAGAATCACAGAGATATTTGAGATGGCCTCAAGGATGCGCCAAGCGCGCGACAGGCAAAGAGAATCAATTGCTCTCAGTGGTTCGAACCCTGGCAAATCCGTCGCTAACATCTTCCGTCATCGGTCCTCCTCTAAGCGGGGTCATGAACTTCCACCCATGCTAAATGATAACAAAGTCTTCCTCACCGATGACACTGACAAGGCGGAGTTGTTTAGTGCTTTCTT